AACTTGCGTCCGTCCCTTATGCTCACAGCATACCCTTCCCGCAGATCATATACTTTATAGGATCTGTATGACTCTTGTGGAAGCATGTGGGCCATCCATGAAACATAATATCGCTGTAAGTATCATCTATAGTGTACCATACGGAAGCCCATGGCACTGCTGTCCTCGTCTATTCTCAGAGATTCTCAGCCAAACTACTTAACCGCCATCAGAGCTCACCATGCACTTTCTCTTCAGCCGCGCCATCTATGCCATGCTCAAGCATTGCTCAGCCACCTTACGCACACTGATGAGCCAGCTCATGCATAGCCTGCATCCTCGAGCGCCTGCAGAGAATCTGGTTGACATTCCGCCACATACACAACCAACCTTCGCACTACCATGCATCCCAAGCTCCGGCAACTTTATGTCGCATGATTTTCTCCGGGAATACACAACAGAAGCACACAATGCGTATGGCAAGTCCCGATTTTCAAGCCTTCATCTCATCGGCAGAGAGCTTCACTGCCTTCTTGGCCTTCAAGCTCAGTCACACAGGCAGCGAAGGCGAGAGAGAGAGAGAGAGAGAACTACGTAGAGTCTTGCAATCCAAGCCCCGCAAACTCTGCGACCCAAGTTCCAAGGCAAGACCCCTGAACATCCAATGCAGCAAGCATTCATTAGATCATTAGGTGGTGCGCGGCTCCAAACAAACCCCTTGGCCGTCTGGTGTGCAGCCAGAACACATTTCTGAAGTTTCTTTCCAAAGCCAATGCCCTTTGATGCGAATCGTAGCTACCCCTAAATGGACTAATGACCTAAACCTGAAAGACCCTAGGTCATAAGATCTACACAATGTCAAGTCTTTGCCTCGTTCTTGGCCCTGAGGGTGGCCGTCTTCTTCTTGTGGAAGGCTTCGCTCTTGACCTCCACCGATGTGTCTCGTTTGGGGCTTCCTCTTCTAAACTATACTGCAGATCTCAGATTCGTATTTATACAGGTCCTTTAAGAACCCAATTGCTGGGATTGCCTGGAAAGATCTGTTTCTAGAAGTTGGCAGCGAATATGTAGGCCCTTGTTGCGTCCTTCAAGTAACGATGATACACTCTTAGGGCTAGGGACATATGTGTTGGTTCGGCGTTCATGACAAGTCATTGTCTCATGGTCATGATCTAGCTGCATCCTATGTCTCTTCTTTTCATCCACAAGCCAATGATATCTCGAAATGTTCAAGGTTCATACCTGTAGCGTACTCATGCGACTTCCCAAGATTTGGCGTCAGTACAGGATTTGCCTTGGGAGTAACGTCCAGAGTGTGGTGAGTCCCAAGTGACTGCTTCCCAGTAGCAGGTCATTTCTCTGCCAGACTGCAAGAGGCACGTTGGGGCTTGCGTTTCAGAAAGAAAGGCCCACTACTTTTCCTGTGGCAGTCTGCCTAATGCTGCTCAGGTCGGGAGCCTTGGGTTCGGGAGTAGGGCTTCTGTTGGAGGATGCTTCGAGCCCCCTACATGGCGATGATACCGTCCACAGAACCCACATCTTGTAATTTTGCGGGATGTACTCGAGACCCTTCAGAAAGCCCCTTAAAGCCTATGCACCCAAACAACACTCTCAGCACTCCACGCAACACTCCCAAGAAAAGCAGCCCACGTGCCTTTCGCTGCGACTCGAGGCGCTCGATCAGTGCTCCGTGCTTCCAGCCCACCTTGCACGAGCGTTCTCTTCCCGCGCCTCTTTGCGGGAAAGAAAAAGATACCCCAGGACCTATAATGCAGATCATGGTCTTACTGGAACCCGAGCCACCCTGGCCTTTCAAATCCGGCTGTCTCAAGTTTCGGATTTCCGGATCAAACTCAAATCGCTCTCTGAAGGTCCTTGTACCAAGGTCATAAAACTGTCCCTGCACACCCATCTGGCATCAGCGTGAAGTGCAGCTGTGACGTGGCCGAGCACATC